CAGCGCGGAAGGGGGCCGAAATTGGTTGCGCGGAAGGCGCGTTAGGATCGATCGCGGCGGCGGAGGTCGACGCGACGGGCGTTTCGATAGTCGCAGAGGGCGACACAATAGCTGGCGCAGAGGGCACCGGAGATGGCGGCGAGGCGGCCGCCGGTGAAGCCGGACGTCGCTAGAGAATTCGACTACGAGGCGTTCCCTCGCAAATTCAAATATTTTACCCATAATGAAGCATTCTTGACGCAGGAATTCCTCTATGAGGGAATCTGTCGACGCTTGAGCCTTTGGGGCTTGCGCCCCGCTAGAGTGTGGCTTACTAAATAGGCCTCCCCACCTTGCGGCAGGGAGGTGTGTGCCTAAAATTAACCTTTAATCGCCTGCGCTTTAGGTGCGCTAGGGTGAGTACCAAGCTGTCGCCTAATGCAAAAAGCACACAGGTAAAAATTACAATGCCGCCTCTGAGACGAGAAATGTGTGTAGAATTCTACTTACGGACAGGAACCTGTCTACGAGCACAACACTACACTAACACTATCCGCTCGGAAGTCGGGCAAAGTTTCTTCGTTCTTCTATAATGTTTCTTCTTTCTTCTATAACGATGAGGCAAGCAGTGCACACCAAGAGATAAAAGAAATAATATAAGTAGCAACAACGGTTGCAAAATGGCTTCCGGGTCGGTTGGCATGGGCCCTCCGGCTCAGAGTAACGTCCGTTCCATGTGGAAGCACGAAGCGGAATGTCATAATAATAATATATATTGTGTACTTCATTAGCAGCCTGTGGGGGAGGCTCGGTTGCCACTGCTAGTGGACTCAAACAGGCTGAAATGATGATGACGATGATATGTACTTCACATTCGAGTATCATTGCATGATTATCGATTATTGGTGAATATAAAAAAAAAAATATATATATATATATATATATATATATATATATATATATATATATATATATATAAATATATATATTTGATTATCTACTGTTTAATGCAGAGATAGGTAAATAAATTAAAGAAAAGAAAAACAAACAAACAAATATGTTTTTGTGTATTTCAATAATGATATGAAACATATTTGACGAATTACTTCTAAAACGATACTGTCTCATAATGTGCTGGACACACATTAGGATTTAATGAGTCACAGGTGCATTTAGAATTAAATAATTTACTTTCTATATTATCTATTAACATTTTAACATGACAAATTGGTACCATTTTACACTCACAATTCTCTGATCGAATACTACATGTAACGATGTCATCACTATTTGAAAGCCCTGTTCCATCTATACTGTTCTCAAGTTTATCTATTGGTAATTGCAATATTTTATACAGTTTCTCTTTATCTGTTATTTCTTTATCATTTTGTGAATAGGGGACAGATTCACAGTCATCCCACTCATCGTAGTTTAAATAGTCATAAAGTTGTTGATGTGATATATTTGTCGAATGATTTATGCCTTCTTGCAAACTACGCTTAGAATCTTTTAACTTAATCGCCTCTTTATTGGAATGTGTGTCAACTTCTTTTTCACATGCGCTTTCTTTTTCTTGCAGTAAATTTTTGTTTAACGCTGTGGACTTACTTGAATTGGTAGATAAAAAATTTTGTATAATGTACGAAGGATTATTTTTTGTCTTCATTAACAATAGTTTATTAACAAAACTTTTATTTGTTTTCGAAATAGACTTAGCACAAAGACATGGACTTAAAATTTTACTACATTTACGACTTATAGTGTAGTCAATATATGGCATAGACATACTATCAATGTTGTTTTTTGTATCCCTAAATTCATTATTTTGTTCTTCATTGCTCAAAATAGATATGGCCGTCTTTTCATTTTTCATTTCACCTATTGGATGACAAACCTTTGAAACCTTCTGGACGTTATCTAATTTTTCAATGCTGTATTCAGTACTGTGCATTTGGATCGAAGAACACGTACTAGAAATTACTGCTTTTACGGAACTAGTTTTTCCATTAGCTTTTTCTAAGTTTTTTATACCGATTTGTTCAGTAATTAAATTAGGTGATGGTATCTCATTATTAACAGATTTATTATTACCAAAACAGATATTTGTATCATCATTGCAATTAAGAATACTACCGTCAACTCTCCTATCAGATGATTTAGTCTCATTGCACAAACTTTTTATTTCTTTTGTTTCTTTTGAAGTATAATGATTATTATTTACTATATTTGTGTCAATACATGTTTTTTTTAATCGTGCAAAGTCATTTTCAATCAATTGACAAACTTTATCCAATAAATCGGGTAATAGTTTACTATTCGACATTTTAATTTCCATAGAATTGGAACATTCGACTCGTTTTATTTTTGTTCGTAAATATTCTTGCAAAAGTCCACATGCACGTCTCCAACATGCTCCAATATTATCGGATTTCTCGTGAGCAAAACAACTACAGGTTATTCCATCAGAACTTTCGATAATCATTTTCTTTACTTTTTCAAGAATCTCGGTTAAAAACAAATTTGCTTCGTATGGTGAAATGTTTGAAGATCTATGTGAAGACAATTTGAACTCCTCCAATTTCTTTTGCAAATACTCCATTAATAAATTAAAGGTATTTACTTCTAAGTCATAATTTTCATCATCATTGTTGCAACAAATGCAGGTTTTTTTGGTGTCTAAGAAAAAAATGCTTTGGGCATAATTATTTTTTAAATTATGAAAAACGTTTTTTACCCCACTTTTACTATCAAAGCTTTTGATTATTATTAAGTTTTCATTTTCGCTCTTATTTTGACATTGAACTGGCCCCAAGCCAGAATTATCTTCTTTGAGCAGTTTATTCGTAATATCTGCACTATTATTTTGATTTTGACTACTGTTAAGCGTAACTCCTAAAAACTCAACATGACCATTAGAACTAAGTGGAATTTTTGATGTATCTACAATACATTTTGAAATGACATCTGCATTTTCTGGATATTCTTTTGCATAAAAACTTTGCACACTAGTTTTTATATCACAAATATTTCTTTCAATACTAGTATATTTACAGCATTGAGCATGGGAAGAGCTGATTTTATCTTGCTCTTGCTGTGACATATTATTAAGGAAAGGCATATGCTGTTTGATGTTACTACCGAGTACAGCTTCTTCCAACGCTTTGAAAGTAAATTTTTTTTCATCTACGTCTACATCATTAACACACATTTGTACAGTTTCATTATTTTTTTGGTTTATATATGGATATCTAATAGTGGAATCAAATTTAGAATTATTGACATTAGTGTCTGGGTTTTGCTCTGAGTTAAAAACATCTTCATCGGTATTATTTATCAGGGCTTGTTGTGTTAAGTTTTTTTTATATTCGTTTTCATAATCTTTATCAAATGACTCTGAATGGTACAGAATTCTGTTTACATGTTGACTGGTATTATTTCGACATTCATTTTTATTTTTATGCAATGGACAAGAGAAAACAAATCCTGTTTTACCATATGTTTCTAATACATTATCAAGCGACCGGATCGAAGGTAACTTGTTAAAACATGTACAGTTTTTAGAACAAGTTAGCGATTCTTTTCTTAAATTCTGATAAGGTATGACTGAGGGCTGCAAAAGAGAGTTATTCAACTCAACACTACAGATATTTTCCAAGAAACACAACGAATTAACATCTGAATTTCGTATTTTATTTTTTTTATTTTCATCTTGAGTGCTGTTTGCGTCTATTTCATCATTATGTGTAGATTTTTTTCGGTTTCCATCCTTTTGCGGTTCAAACAAACACATATTGACCGCATAAGATTGACCTAATCTTTTGAATGAATTTTTCGTTGTATATTTTTTCAAGTTGGTTATCCGAACGTTAGGATCAGTTTCATACCTGTCTGTACTTACTGCCCTATGGTTGAAGTTTTGGTTAGTTATCATTCTTTTTTTAGCTGTTCTAGCTTCCTCCAAAGACTTATTGTCTTGGTTCTGAAACAGAAATATCGTCGTTTGCTATAAAGGAAACACAAGACGGCACCAATCATTTGTTAAAATGCAATAAAAACAAAGTGTCGTTTAGATGAGTGGCGAGAGAGTCAGACGCATTATCCCAGAATTCCATATCAAGATGTTTAAATCCTCACGGTATCGCAAAATTTTTGCCAAAATCTTTTAAAAACTGGCAACGCATTTCCTACTCTATCGTCGTTGTGGATAATATCTAAAGATTGGGACGATTACCACCCGCTCGTATACGTGTATATTTAAAACCTATTAAATATGATATGATATGTTAGAGAGTGAAGTTTATTTTTAGAGATATTGATATTAGATAGATAGATAGATAGATATAACATTAATGATTTTACTCTAATTCAAAGAAAATCTCATTCAACGATTTGAAGTTGTTATTTAAGGCCCATTTACACGATGCCATTTTCTTGTACATGCAAGAGCAATAATTGAATGCAATAAATTGCGCGCAATAATTGGTTAGACCATTTGTTGTTTAGACCATGCAACTTATTTATTGCTTCAATTTAATTGTATACAACAGGCAAGAAACTGGCACCGTGTAAATGGGCCTTTAGACATTATTTGCATAGGACATTATATTAATTTTGATTCTTTGATGAAATTAATCCGTGTTCATTGAAATAAAACACTATGAAATAACTTACCGCAGCTGTTATAGACAGCTTATTGACTCTTTCTTTTATCGGTTTTAAGGAACCTTTTTTAACTGCTTTCTGTAAACAAAAATCCTTATAGTGTAAAAACTGTTAACATCTCCCATATAATAAATATATGTAAACCAAGTGATTACAGTTTTTTGAGAAGTCATCTGACAGTGCAATTGAGTTACATTGCTGGCACTATTTTCTTTCATCGACGAATTTATTTTTTCGTTCATTTTAGAACCCTTTCGAGCTTTGTCCATGCTTGTCTTTAAAGTACATGAATAAGTAGTAGCTGCGAAAAAATATAATCATTATTTTAAAAACTTAAACTTATTGAATATTACACTCTAATTAGAATAAAACCAATCACCAGGTTGTATTTTGTCGCATTCACAAGGCGGCGGTGATAACTTCATGAAATCTTTAGCCTTTTCCATTAATTTCTCCGCCTTTTCCTGAAATAATTCTTCGGCTAATTGTTTTGCAAGTTCTTGAGCTCGATTTTCTAGTGCTCTTTGTTGCCTTTCCTCAATTTCTGTGTCAATGCGATTTCTTGATGCAGCATCCGCGCACGATTCACCAACCCACTTTAATTAGAATTCGAAGCATTTAGTTACCTGAATTAAACCGCATAGCTTGAGAACACCTTATATCAAAAATTTTACCTTAGCGTGATATTTTTCAATAGATGAAGCAATAGCAATATCAAGCTCCCCAACCAGCAATTTTGCAAAGAAGCTCCGAAGGTTGACCTTAACTTCGCTAGCGCGGTCCCAGTTATGTTTGTCCTCTAAGCATTTCAATAGTTCACACGGCATCATCGACCCGTTCTCACCCAACTCGGATTGCAAACCCTCAAAGAGGTCCTTAAGTAAGTTCGAGAGCAGGCTACTTCGTAATGACTTACAAGAACACGACTCCTGTGAATAAAATAAACAAATCAAATGTAGGTCTACGTCTCTTATGCCCAGTTTCCGAAAGGCCAATCAAAGCAGCAATCACATAACAATATGTCAAAAATGATCAGCTCTTAATCTTTTGTTAAACTGCCTTGGGTTTCTGGAAGGATTGTTCAAGAAAAATTAGCTAATCACTCATTCATTTCATTCATTATCATTGGTTATACACCAATGATAATGAATGAAATGAATGATTTACTTCAACTAACTCTTTCTATTGTATAGCTGTCCCTTTTTAAACAAAACTTAAATTAACGTCACTATCCAGTCCTGTCACCCTGTGATTGCCAACGTAAAAATCCGAGCTATAATAAAATTTAATTTATATAAATACATACAAAATGTCAAGAAAAAACTTTAAAGAACGTGAAAAAAATGAAGTTTTATCCATAATAAACAAGTATTATAAAAAGAATCCATATTATTTATTAACTTTTGAATTGCATTTTATGTTTTTTCTAATCGAATGATATGTTCGCATTATAATAAATAATAAATAGGTAATAGAACACATGAATGCCCTTACAACGTATTAGGGAATTATGTTTATTTTTAATAAAAACTAAGATTTTTGATAAAATACATTTTTAACCAACGATTGATCGTGCAAATTGACAAATTACTTAATAAAACTTTTGACAGCTCGTTGATCACCGAAAAACGCTTTCAGAAACTCGATTTTCTGTTGATTGTCCGTTAATCAGTGACTAATTGCAAATCAAAATCAATTTTGTTTTCAGACGTTCTAGCAACTCAGATCATGTTAAACAACGATTGACAAGAGATTTATCGTAAATTAAAATTGATTGCGCTTTCGGAAACTGGGTGTCAGATTTTTGTTTAGAGACATTTCGTACATTCAACTTATCGTCAGAAGTGCATCGACAAATAGCGGCAAGCGACGGTGTACGTTTCGCTTCAACACCGCCGTCCTGTGGCAATTTACACTGGCATTCAAGCACTTTTTCCTTCACCTCGGCAAACTGTTCCGTCTTCGCTTTCAGTTCCAACACTTTTCCGTGTAAGCGACGATCACACATCGATTTGCATGCTTCAAGATCTTCAATGATATTTGATTTTTTCAGGCGTATTTCTTCAAGCTATGCAATAAAACAATATGGAAATGAAATTATGATTATTATTATATATAATTATGATTTTTTTTCGTACTAGTCACTTCAATCAAGATCAAACTTAAAATTTGTCATTTTTGTACAAAACTGTCGTAAAACTTTTACCACTGTTGGATTCGAACCTGCGTCTTCCCTTCATAATGCGCCCGGACGCCTTAACCAATTACTACATCTATCTCTACTTCATTGCGTCTTTAGCGTACTATCTAGTGTGCTTAGTAATTTTAAGTTATAAGAATCTTATTTATTTTGAAATCTATTACTCTACCTAATCATTAAACTTAATCATGCTATATTCATGATATAGTTTTGCTGTCATGAAGTCTATGTCATGATTTTGTGTCATTAATACTTATTGAAAATCAAACAGTTTAGTACAACTGTAAGCTTAAGTCATACTTTATGCACCGCGAACGTTATAAATCATGTAAAAACTAACTTTCGCAACTATTCAAAAATGAAAGCTCTACTTTTTTAAAGTAAAAATGTGGGAAGCGAGCATGCTTTTCAGCTGATATAAAGTGATTACCGCTGCCCATGGACATCTACGATACCCATAAGCTTGCATTGTCAAACTTAAAATTTTTAAGCCCAGTTTTGGCCTCTCTGGCCACAAGAATATTTTTCACCGGACAAGACTGCCTAAGTTTGCAGCAAAAAGCGTAACGCACGTAAACAAGTTTATTTATATGCAATTTTCTCTTGTGATTTAGTGTGGTCCACTTTGAATCTACTGAAGTACTCATATCTCTTATGAATTCCAACCAATTTTTTATAAAATTTGATTGAATTACCATTTTAATATGTTATAAAAGAGGCAATGGCAAAAATAAATGAATAAGTTACTTATTAGTTTAAGAAAATTAAGCTCAAAACTAATGAAACACTAATCTGAAATAAATTTATCCTATTTAAAAAAAACAAATACGCTTACTCATTAACTCCTAGAATGCTGATTGAGTGAGAATTTACACAAAACTGTTTTGTTAACTTCAAATTAACCAAATAAATAATACAAAAATAGATCCTTATTACTAAACCAAATTATCGCTTAATAAAATATAGCTAAAACACTATCGGCGCGTTTGGAAAGGAAAAAGATGTTCAATTTATTATAATTTCATATTGAATACGTTATGGCGTATAAGTCTCTGGCGTATGAGACTGGGTTTTACCAGTATTCAAATAAAAAACAAATATGGGATTTATAATATGTAAATATGGGAGTTTGATTCTTTTTCAGTTTATTTCTAATAAAAACTCAGCATATTTTGTTATTAATGCGAATGGCCACATAAAACTAATTGGTTTTAAACAAAAATAAAGCAAACTATAATATAATAAATATAATAAAAAAACAGATATAAATAGAAAAAACATAACTATAAATTTATTGTATTGATAGCTCGATTGTATTAAATAATAAAAGAAACAGATAAAAAGGTAAGTTTTCAAATTAAAGTCATACTTTGTAGGTAAGGTAATTTGGGCACTTTTTAAGTAAACATATATTGTAACATTTTACACTCCTCAAAATATCAACTTCTACGATAGATATAAAAATTAATAGCAGTTCATCTTACTTATTCCTATCTGTACGAGTTTTTCTAGCTTTTGAACTCTACACATCTTGCAGAATATCGTACCCATAGCCACACACACACACACACATTTATCTTGTACGTTGTCTACATTTATGAGATATTGTCCTGTAAAAATTAAATGAAAATACCTAATAAAAAGCTAAATACCTCAGTTTTCACGTTTTTGATTTCAGATTCTTCCGTTAAAAGTCGTTTAGACACTTTAGCCACTTGATCTTTTAAGGCCCCTAACTCGGCCCGTAGAGCTCTTTCTGCCTCGTGCCTAAGCCCGCGAGATGACTCGACTTCGTTTTGCAAGTTAACGAGTTTTCTTCGAGCTTGCTCTTCTTTGAACTAAAACAACAATTTGAAGTTATCAACGTCAATCGTCTATTGCCTCGTCAAGTCGTTTTATTAACCATTAACAACAAAAAAATTTTAAACAATTATTGCACGTCAAGTACGTGCCTGAATGGCTGTTAAGAATTTCAGTCTATTATCCACTAAGTCTATAACTTACAGCTCTTCTGGTCGACTATTGCTTATATTAAATCAGCATAAAATAAGGTTTAGAACGACTACCTTAATATGCCCACAAAAGATGCTTTAGTATATGAGTACTGCGCACTAAAGCTACACTAATTTTGCTAAAGCTTATCATGCAATGAATGATATATGGTAAGCCTGTCACGGTACACCGAACAAGTGTAAATAGTAGATTGCGAGAAAGAACTAAAACCCGACGGCCAACCATAGTGCATTTGAAGGGCTCCACACGTCCAGTGGAATGCACTGGTGCCCTTTTTTTTGGCTTGAGTTGAGCTCATCAAGCGACGGATGCGATGTCTCTCCAGCTCCCGTCTTTAGTTTTGGCAACAGATTCACCTGTAAATCAAGACTTCCGGTTCCTTGAACTCAAAATCACCTTACTTCCTCGTACGATAGATAGAGGATAACTTATAGCGCTTTTCTCTATGCCCACAGCTACAAGGGTAACGGGGTGGTCCATTACCCATCTCGATGTCTCCATCAAGCGGGATCGATGCTCTCCCGACGTGGTGGCCTCCCGATTTGGTGATCATCTTCTTGGCTATTATGGTTTCATAGAAGGAAACCAAATGCAATGCATGTTGATTTAACTGCCAGAGGCCAAGACATATTTTATCCTTCAGGACCACAATGTTGAATTTGCAAAATGTTGAATTCCCAAAATGTTGAATTCGCAAAATGTTGATTCCCAAAATGTTGAAGTCGTAAAAAGTTGAATTTACTGGTCCCATAATGTTGAATTCCTAAAATGTTGAGTTCGCTAAAAGTTGAACCTGCAATATGTTGAATCCCAAAACGTTGAATGCAAAAAAGTTGTATCCCAACAATGCGAACAACTATATACATAAATATAATCTGAATTGATTCAAAAATAAATTGAAATGAATTTTTATCTGAGATTTTTATAGATATTGTTACATAAATTATTATTGTGGGGATATTTGTTTTCTCGTCTGGTAGGGGTTATAAATAAAAATAAACATATAGATATTGTCTAAAATACATACATAAATATGATCCAACCGGAAAAAAAGACGGAAGCCCTCGGCAGGGGAGACCAAACGGAGATGTTCAGAGAGGCTGATTAGGATCAACCCTATCAGACATGACTATCGGGATAATTTCAGTCAACACACCACCCCACATGTCGGTCACCTCGTGAGCCAGTTAAACGAGAAACAGATAGGAAGACGAAATATTTCGTCTTCCTATCTGTTTCTGCTTTCACGAGGTTCTCGTCATATGGGATGGTAATGTCAACCAAAAATACCCGCGACTGCGCCCGGTCCATCAACACGATATCAGGTTTGTTCGCGAGAATCGACCTGTCCGTGATGATGGGCCGGTTCCAATAGAGCCTCGCGCGGTCATTGTCGAGGACGGCCTCTGGGTAGTACGGCAGTTTCCGATCCACGAGACCGTATTTCAGAGTGAGCTCCTGGTGTAGGATTCTGGCTGCTATGTTATGTCTATGCAAATACTCAGAGTTAGAAAGCATGGAACAACCGGAGATAACATGCCGAATCGACTCCCCGGGATGGCGACAAGCTCGATAGATGTCGACGGTGCCATCCCTTAGGATGTATTTCCGATAGTTGTTGTTAGAACAATAATACCATACACCCAGCAATTCATTGGTTAGGATTCAACATTTCGCAACTTCAACTTTTTGTGAATTCAACATTTTCGGAATTCAACATTGTGGCTACGGGTGGGAAATTCAACTTTTTAAGACTTCAACATTTTGGGAATCAACATTTTGCGAATTCAACATTTTAGGAATTCAACATTTTGCAAATTCAACATTATGGTCCTGAAAGTTTTTTATGTCTAGAAAATTTAGGATAAAAATGTGGCGCGATCATATACATATTATGCATTGTATTGATCTAATTTTCCTGCACAGCGTATTGAAAAACAACAAAATTTTATTTTTCAATCGTGTTAATTTAAAAATAACTAATTGTTATTCAAATAGTTTTAAAAATAATAACTTAGAGTTTATTATGCTGCCCTGGCATGATTGCACTAGCATCAAGACCAGAAGACGATTATCGAGTATGTAATTTATTAGCATTAATGTTCATGCACGCACATATAATCGTCTATCTGCACACTTATAGATGCGCTAATCTGACATTCCTTTCTATTTTCAGATGTAACATGAAGTAATTTATGCCGATTGGAGTTTAATCCGAATATAGCGAAAGCGGCGGGAGTTCAAAATGTCGATAAACAAAAATGAGTGTTTTTGTCTAACATGGCTATGTTCTACATAGTAGATCTTTTTTTATTTTATTGAATAACTCGAATAAATAATTCGAATGTTTTCGTATTCACACGCTCACAAAGGGCACTTCACAACTAGTTCAGCATAGCATCACGCCATTTATACAAAGTTAGAACAAGGCCGCATCTTGTCTATTTATTATACAACAGTCGGATTTTTTACATGAATTAGTTGCGTGCCAAATAAGGTTAAAATTACATTGAGGAAACAATTTTTTTTAATTATTATTCATTTACACCACAAAGATACTTATTTAGTAATATTTTTAGTGACAATTTCATTCGCATCTCATATTGTTTGAGAATAGTTAATTTAAGGACCAATTTTCTAATAAGCAATTAAGCAATTAATTAAAAGGATTAAACTGAATAACGTAATAATTAAAATTATCTATGCAAATTTTTAATCCTAATGATACCACAAGATGGAACTCAGTGATGGAACCACGTGATTCTTTGTTTAAAGAGTAAAACAAATGTGAACCGAAGAGGATTTAAATTTTTATAAATATTTAGCAATGAGGTAATTCTTGGGTGATTGAAAATATACATAATAAATAATGAGATAATAAACAAACAGAAGGTTTACAATTTTCGCTTTCCTTCCTAAATCGTTTATATAAACTATTTGCGTATTTTTTTACTACTTTGTTCGGCAATTTATTATTCAAGCCAATAATTTGGCGAATATAAAAACACTATATAACATTAATATTTATAAAAAAAACAACCGTTTAAGTTTTATTGAATTCCTATATTATGTCTATTGCCTTGAATAGTGAAAAAAATTAAAACAGGTTGTAACGTATAACTTAATATTCAGATTTATATATCGCGGAATGTTTAATTTTTCAAAATGTACCTATTTTACCACTTGTACAAATGTATTTTGTGACTGCTGTTCTATGAAATAGCAGCTTATCGCCAATTGTTAGTACTATTTGTCGTATCTAATTAGCACACATTTCAGTAACATACATATGGTAGGTATTTATGATACTAGTCCAATTTTAAAATATTTTAAATTTGATTATTACACTTCCCATGGCTGCCGTCAGTCGTGTATATATCAATGTTTTAAACAATCTGACTAAATGTATTTTATTTACTTACTACAATCTTAGAGAATAGTAAAATTTTTATAACATTTTCAATAGCTTCCAACTATTTCAAAAATATGCCGTATTCACATAAGTACAAGCAGTCATTGTGATAAACATATAAAAAATACTACAATTTTTACAAATGTATCTGAACTGACCATACAACATCCCCATAATCAATCTAGTTCAAAGGTCGTCATTAAATGGCAGTTCATAACAAAAAATAATTATAATGTAAACTTGCGCTAAAATAAATCTAGAAAAACTATCCCCATAAAAATTTGAAGGCCACAAGCGATAATTTGTCCGATAACTGTTTGTGGGACAGATTGCTGTTAATCAAAATCTTCACCCGTAGAATATCCCACATTTTAATGATCACTTTTAAAAGGCTGATACATCTCTTTGCTTCTTCACGCCACTCAGAGTAAAATACTAAATGGGATTACGGAAGGTGACCAGCTATTGTTTGACTGTTACCTATTGGGGCTTTAACAGCCCCGTGATCTACTCCTTCATACAACAAAAATGAAAACTTTAATGATAAAATAACAGCTATTAATCATAGCCCCTGAATCCGATATCCTAGGATAAATCCGTATCTCGGGAATTAGTTCCCTTACAAAAATAACAACGATGAAGTTATTGCCAGTTACAAACATCAGCATTATTTAGAGGCGCGCGAGCGCTGTGTGTGTATGTATGATAAAAGCAAGTAAAGTAACAACATATAGATATCCCACTGCTAGGCATAGCCCCCTCTGCTCAGTGTATTAGAGCGTAGTCCGCCATGGGACCACACTGCGGATTGGCGTGAAGTAAATAATAAAAGTCCTCACAAATAAATAAAAAAGGACAATTCACCACAAGTATACAAATCTGTAGTTAACAGTTTTATTGTTTCAATAACCCAAAAAAATAATGCAGTAAGTGTAGTTCCGTTAAATACTTATTACGTAAACTGGAGAATGGAATCTACTCACCCGAAGATCTCTCTCGTGCTGCGACGAGAGGCATTGTTGCTGCGCAAGAGAAGCGTCGGCGTGCGCCGCGTCCTCGCTCAGCCGCATCTTCTTTCTCGCCCGCTCACAAATGTCCATCTCTATTTTTCTCAAATCATCTCGCTCCTTGTCGACAGCGTTAAGTGTGTCTTCCAATTGTTTTGCCAATTTCGTGCAAGCTAACTTATAATCGGAGCGTTCGCTTAGATTATTTTTTATCTACAACACATATTAAATATGTATTTTCTTACAGTATTATTTTAAAAATAGCTTTCTGTGCTTCAAAATAATTATTGTTTGTATGTAATCTAATTAAATTTAAATAGCAGATGTTTATAACGCTTATCATTGCATTCAATCAGTCTAAACGACAGTCTATGACAGCGATCGAATGAATGATCAACGACTAAAACGTTTGCACTATTTAATCTATACCAATACCTGCTTCGCCAACTCTTCCTCTTTTTCTTCAGCTCTCGAAAGACGCTTTAGGTAACTTTGTTCTAGATCTTTCCAGGCAACTTCAGCGCGCATTAACAATTTCATGCGGTCACTTTCGCGCTTGGCAAGCTTTTCAACGCGTTTCTTCAATTCCAAGGTAGTGGAATCCATTTCCAATAGACGTTTCTTGCATAAAGGCTCCATACGAGAAGCCTAACATAAAGAAAATTTAATAAAAAAATGAAATACCTACCTAGAAAAAATTTTAAATTTCTCCTCCCTCACGACAAGAAATGTCTCGAAATGAATAATTTCAAAAATCTTGATAAATGAGGTATATCTTTGATATTGATTCAAAAATATTAAAACATAAGATAAAACAATCAACATCCCATGTACATAATAAGTTTTGCTACTAGTTCGGTATTAGATGAAGCTTTATAATTATAGTCTCTCTCTAGACTGAAAACGTAACTTCCATTAATACTAGAGACAAGATACATATTACACATAGTTCTTCAAATAATATTTCACTTTTATTGTTCTTCAAAGGATTCGTTGTTTAATCATATTGTTTATCTCAAAGATTTCTTCTTAGAGACATATATAATATATTATAATTATATTTTAATCAACAGACGCACACAACAATAAAAAAGGGAAATTGTTACGACTTAAGTCATAAGCTAAGCTCGTGGAAACTGATCATTCCATGAGGTTTAAAATTTATAAAACTGCCGCACAAATAGAACCCAAATACTCTCCGACACACATTCGACCTCTTGGAAGAAAGAAATGAGATGTGGCTGCAATCTTACACTGACATGTCAGACTACAGGATGCTTAACAGGCAGATCTCGAAATATATGGGGGAGACTTACGCACCGTCATTACAGCTCTTATTAAGGGAGCTAAAGAGCGGAACTTATACTTGAAAGTCTTCTATAAGACAAAGCTCCTTGACTATATCAATCAGTAGACCAGAGGTTTTAAGTGAGATTGAGAGGTTCTATGGACAGCTGTATACATCGTTGATAAAGCCACACACATGTGTGAGTAACGACCAAGAGCAAAGCTTGTCCGACACTATTCCAGAATATCCCGGACGTCAGTCTGAGCAAGATTAAAATGGCTCTTGAGACTCTTGACCATCTTAAGAATGACAAAACACCAGTAGAAGATGGAATTACAGCAGACCTACTGAAAGCGGGTAGAGAACCGGTACTTGTGGTCCTTCAAAAGCTCATTAATTCCGTCCTTCAAGATGATGCTACACGAGAGCCGTGGAGCAAAAGTGTGGTGGTGCTGTTCTTCAAGAAAGGTGATAACGCTCTCTTGAACTTTAGACCGATATCCCTTCTGAGCTGCTGTTTTCAAGAGACATCTTGAACGTCTCGCCTCCAGACTCAACGACTTCCAGGCTACCGAACAAGCCGATTCCGAAAAGGCTTCAGTACCATAGAACGCATACACACTTTGCGGCAAGATAATGCAGAAGACCAAAGAGTATAATCTGCTTTATGCCTAGCGTAAGAGGATTTTGAAAGGCCTAGGCGGTTCTCCAGGCCCTTCAACGGTACCATATTGACTCTCCGTATATCAAGGTGCTAAGCTGTTTATATAATTTCCCACTGCAAAAGGATGTAAAACAGGGTGACGTCATATACCCGAAATTCTTTACCGAAGCATTGGAAGATGTGTTTACAAAGTTTTGGACTAGAAAGGACGTGGTATTAACATCAATGACGAATACATCATCGACCTTACCGTACTATGTACAATGACCTCAACAGTCTCTCCCTCTGCGTGATAGTGTTCGCAACGAAAACATCCGCAGTAGATAACTAACATTGCTCAGTAAGCTGATGTGGCGATGGGCCGGCCATATAGCTCTTAGAACCGATAACCAATGTGGAAGAAAGGTTCACAAGGTGGCAGCCTCGTTCTGGCCATCGCAATGTAGGACGATCCCCCACTAAATGGAATAACGAACTGTGCGGGAAGTCGATGGATGTAGGTGGCTCAGGATCGTCCTTCATGTCAGTCTGTGGAGAGTGCTATGTTCAGCAATGGACTCAAACAAGCTGAAATGATAATGATTAATGACTTCACCATAACTTTCATCATAGTAATCATTCATATACTTGTTTTCATTCTTTACCGCTATTAAAAAAGTCCACGAGTTATATGATACTAGACACGTTTTGAATTTAATGATTAGAATTATAACTATTAATCCAACCATCATTACACACCTAACATACAACGTACCTATATCAAGTAATTGTACAGCGGATTGGATATTTGTAAGTGGGATTTTGTAATTAAGTAAGTACTTTAATAAGTACACACCGTTTAAGAGAATCTTATAAATATGACGTCGTTTTACTTTTCATAATAGTTACAAAAATTTTACATAAAAACTCATAACAATAATATTTATTAAGCGGCAAATAGTATTATATGGGGAAGCCTAGTAATGTACGGCCTTCAAGGGCCGCGATACTGGTTGTTCTAGATTCTTCATTAACAACTAAAATGCTAGATCGATTGTTCAAGTTCAATGGAAACTAAGACTCGTTTAATTATAATAATTTGTAATTGACATAACAACGTCATTTATTTATCGAGAACTTATCAATAAAACAAAAGGGACAATATATCCCAATAAGTTCGTATATATAAGAGCCGTGATAGCTCAGTGTCCGGGCGCTCGCCTTTAATTCAATATACTCGAGCAACCCGAGTTCGATCCCCGGTGCCGGCACCAATGAAGTTTTTAACTTTAAGTGCTGACTTATCACGTGCTCCGCGGTGAAGGAAAACATCGTGAGGAAACCTGCATAGTTTCGAAATAATAACAAAAAAATATATATTTCGAAGATATGTGAAGTCCGCCAATCCGCAGTGGGGCAGCGTGGTGGGCTATGCCCTGATACCCTCTGTAAAGAGGAGGCCTTTGCCCAGCAGTGGGACATGTATAGGCTGTTACTTTACTTTACTTTTTTAAGTTCGTATATAGAAGGAAACAGCTATTTAAAGTTTTATTCACAAAACAAAAATTAAAAACAATGATATAAAAAAGATTTTTATCATTAGATATATGTAGTGTTTAGGAATGAAATATAAAATGCGATTCAAGCAAACTCGTACTTATTTCATCCTTGAATACCGTAAATACAATTTAAAATACTAAAACTCGTTAGATGTTAGAAAATTCTAAGCCACTCGTCCATCACTCATATCGCAACTGTCACCACTCTCTCACACTCGTTTCATCCTTCACTTTCATTACAATTTAATGTCTCTGATATAAGTTACACTACGAAATGGCATACTACTCTGTGAAACCTCATGTTCCAGGAGAATGGACCTTCAATAACAATTTAACTCGTCTGTCCATTAGGAAGCCATTGTAAAACACACAAGGACAATTTCGAAAGTGCACTCAGTGTCACATCCAATCAAGGACATGAAGCGAGCCCTATAAAAATATATGATGTGTCCACCGTATTTTTAACTAATTTAAGCAACAGTAAGCTCTAAGTGTTTCGTTTTCTATGTCAGACAAATGAAAAAAAGAACGATTTTCGAAATGTCCTTTATACGAACACGATGTATTTATATTGTTATTTACATTAATTAAGCTAAAATAAAATGAACGAATAAACTAGGCAATAAAAAATTAATACAGGAACAATATTTTTATAATGGTTTCAGCTACCAATGTCAAATACAAATAATGCAATAAAATGTTTTACAGATAGCGTTCAAAATTATTTTTAACAGACTATATAACGCCCGGTTTTATATGTGTTTTCAAATATCTAGATCACAATTATTTTTGATCTCTGAACTGTAGATAATGCAAATCATGAGTATCTTGCGGGAATACAATAAAGGTCAGCGCTTTAATACCTACAAAATCTACACACAATACTAAAATTTATGATTCGTATTAATATACGCGATTTACGCATAATCTTGATTTGTGTTAAAATATATCAAGTAAACCAATTCAAGGGAAAATAGTACTTACCGTGTCAATTTTTTTTTCCACTTTTTTTCCGCAATATTGAGTTCTTTGACATTTTTTTGTTGCAAGTCGCGATTTGTTCGTATTTTCGCAACGCATAACAATTTTCGTATCAACAGGCAACTTGACAACAGGGCCAATATGAGATAACGTGTGCGAATTGATAGAGTTTATGCTGTTCGTTAATACACAGTTTTTATGTTCCATAAAGATCCTTGGCTTACAGGAAATATCAGATGTGCTGAGAATGTAAAAATCCTCAGTTGCGAATGAATCAGTTTCATTTCCATCAGTTGCGTTAAATTTTGACTGTATGAATCTGAAAATTATAGATGGTAATTGTACAAGGATAGTGGTATTATTAATTTTGGTAGTATTTTGACTATTAATGAATGAATGTAATGCTCCTATTTTGAATAAAGATATTTGAATATGAATTTGAATTAACAATAAAATAAGCCTCGACCTTCGAATCAGAAAAAATAGAACGACAAAAGCACCCGCATCAATTACAACACAAGTGACACAAGCAGTGCGTAATAACAATTAAAAAAATGATGATTCTGGTCTGAAGGTCGTTTCAGAGGTCATATTAATGAAACAAACATACTGGTACAGGCTGTTCGCGTCCCCATGGCCGAGCTGCTGCCACGCAAGGAGAGCGCAAGCCAGATATCGCTCCTCAGGGTAATGTGAAACCGCCGCGCTAACGTCCCACGATGTGGTCTCTAAGAGCTCTTGCATCGCAGCTATTTCTACCTGAGAAACTCAAACTTTTGAGGAAAGAGTACCTATATGGAAGAGAGTATAATTATCAACGAATTAAGATATTATTCCATCGACGGAAAATCAGAGCTTTTCCACGAGTTTTGATTGAATTATGTAGATTGTTTATTTATTTATTGATTTCAAGCTCTTCCCTTTTTAAAAATTAAAAAGGTTCTGGTTAGTGGTTTAAGCGTCTAGACGCGATACAGGAAGCACACGGTACAGAACCCACACGGTTTCATTCCCGCGGCGGCGAAAAACTTTTGTTCCATTTTTCAATGAAACATTAAGTTTCATCTTGTACGCAGAGATTAGCACTATAAAAACTTACATAACTATTAGGTATCAGCGTCGGTAACTTTTCATTCTAAGCATAAATGAGCTTACATTAATGAAAAATATATTATAAATACCTTCAAGTCTATATGCCGGATTGCTCTCTAAGACTTTAGAAATGTTCCATGCAATAAGCGAATTCATTGAGGCGTCTCTTTCGTCAACCAATTCACGAGAGGGTTTTTCACCACAGCCGCTGTCCAAAGCAAGCTGCAAAAAGTTTAAAAATTTACAAGTAACATTATTATTAACTGAATGACATCAACTTAACTTAGTAATTTTACGACACTTTCCGTTATATATTAATTAATACAGGTCCTTACTTTGTTGTCCATTTTAGAAGATTTTCGAAGTCTTTTTGAGTTTTTTGTTATTTATTGAACGCAGGAAGTCATTACTTTCGTTTGTATCTCATAAATGTATTTTATTCATACCTCATTCAAAAACTGAATTAATACAATTTTATTCTATACTTTTTTTAACATAAAATTTTATTTAAAACACCAAACGATTTTGTGACATGTGAGTTCTTCTTTTTATGCTGTCATATTTATATATGTCAGCTCTATCGTTATAAATTCAAAGTCAAAGTCATTTCTTTATTCAACATAGGCTTATTTTAAGCTCTTATTGAACGTCAAAAACTACCACCGGTTCACTAAACTAGACCTGCTAGCGAAGAACCGGCAAGAAACTCTGCGTTAAGATATATTTTTTTCTTTCAATTATTTAAGCATATACACAAAAGTATTTAAGTATAAAATTAGCAAGAGCCAGGGGACTTGCAAGTATAGAGCAAGAGTCAATTCCACACATCCTTGTACTCAATGTATTCTTCGATATTATTATAGGCCCTTTCGTAGAAGAAGAAGATCGTAGAAGTCAACTAATTAGCTGTCAAATGGTTTTTCAAATGTTATTTGAGTTGCCTAGAGGTTTAACAATTAAACAGGTTTAACAGAATTTATCAGAATGATCAATTCATAGAGCTTGTGGCCCTACCACAGTTAAACCGCTATTTCAAGATCTTTAATTCGTTTTTACACAGAGGTAGAATTGCATCGCCATTTGCTGATGCTGAATAATCAGGCACAAACTGGGGAAATAGCACAGCATCACAGATGATTGGCGTAAAATAAAAGTGTTAATACTTTCCCTTTCATCCGGTGAGCAAGATGGACGCAGGCCCACGCCCTTTACCATGGTAGGTGTATTAAAAACGAACCTATCCCCGGATAGTACCAGCACCAAAGGTACTGAAGAATCCCCTACCAGCGCTGGGGCTCAGATAATCCTTCGGGCTGCGGGCGTTGCTGCTGACGTGGATTTCTACAAGATCATAGGATGGTATCAGGCAATATCTGCAATATCAATGATGGCAAAGCCAGCCTTGCTCCTTTTACTGAAACTCAGATATCTTCTCTAGTTGATATATCCTATCTTTCCTAACTGGATTATAAATTGTAAAACTCCTTTTTGCCTCGTGACGGAGTTTGTGTATATCAGACAGGATATATATTCTCGTCGTCTCAGTAACCGCAAAGGTTATTGAGCGCTATACCATATGATGGATTTGTTCATCATATGGTTGCGTGCAGACAGCGAAGGCCATCCCCGCGACAACGCCTGCCTTTACAGGTCCTATACCACCGTCACACACAAAGTCTCATATTACCGAGACAGAACAAGCGGTACACGTTGAAAATACACGCGTACAAATGGGTACAGAGTATATGGTCTAAAATAGATCGCAACCGATTATAGATATCGTGATGCTTAGTGTTTTAACTCCCATCAAACTGATTGCCTAGTTTCACATACTACCGATTATAGGGAAGGTCTGTACACGACTTTGCCATGACATATAATTTGACACAGCTCTTCACTTCGTATACGTGTATTCCAGATATGTTCAAATTTTTTGTTATGGATACCTGGCCTTCCACATAGGGCAGCCAGATTATGTCGGACTCACACCGATTAAAAATCCATGTTAGTCACCGTCACCTTTCATGGGGAGTCCCGGTAACGTAATTTCACCCACCCCTGTGGTGTAACCACAATGGCTTAAACCTACTTCAAACCGTTTTCGTCGGGGTTTGCTTTACTGTGCTATAAAGGCCCAATCAACCGCAATCCCTAAGGCCCCGTTTCCGATAGGGGAACACCATTTATATACAGAGGACCATAACGAGGTCTATCCTCGCCTTAGTGACCCCGTCTCCGAGAGAGATCTGTCCTCTCTCGATCCCTCTCAGGAGAATACTTGTTAACCATCACGGTTTCCCAGACAGAGGTTACGGCCCTCCATGCTGCATCTCCACTCAACGTCGCTGATACAACTGCTGTTAAAGATAGATTTCCACCAATGTAGCTTACCAGAATACTCCAGTCCGTCTCCACATGCTGGGCACACCGCCAGGGTATGCGTTGCGGAATCCTGATAGCTCCCATCGCAGTGGAAACAATTCGCCGTCGTCTCACGTCTGACTTTGCACAGATAAAAGCAAAAACATCCATGCCCAGTTTTTAATTCAATTATCTGTGTACGTCTGTAAGTGAGTCTACCTTCACGTCGCTCCATCCAAGCTTCAAAGACTGAAGCGACTCCAGCGCGTCTTCTGACTCGCTACCACTGCTCTGACGATAAGCACCCAACGCATATGCGGTCAGCAGGTTTCCGCCGTGTGTTAGCAGATTAAGATGGTATGCAGTCCTTTTTGGGTGTAATCCCTCTCTGTGCTCAGGTTTGCTTTTCACTGGATGATTCTAACCATTCTGTCATGACTCCGTCGTCGATATGTTACATCAGGAAATGGAGCTTTTTATTCCATTCTCTACGGTTTCATATTGAAGGCAATGTGGCATCTTGCCAAAAGCAGGAGAGTTATAGTGTGTGAATTGATGTGTTGGCATCTAGGCATGTATATATCAGTAACTTTTAAAAAGAGTACAATTTTGCATCTAGGTAAATTAAAAGAGCCATCGCATCAACGAGGCTAAAAAATATTGGCATAATTGGTGAGAGATTATTTTGCCTCCCTTCAGGAACTCGTCCATTCTAGTCCCTCTTGGACTAGAGTGGACGAGAGTGGGGAGTAGCAGGTGTCCCACGACGCTCTGTCTTACCATGTTCCTTCTGCATATCAATATTACTTGTTGCATATTTGCAGCATTTATTGCTATACAGATGAAACTCTGGGTGACGCATTATGGCGGTCGGGCTAATATTGCTCAGTAATACGTTGATTTGTGTAGGATTATACTTGTTTCTGAAATCAAAGTTTGGTCAAGCAAAATCTCGAATTGGAGGCCTGACTAAATCTAATCCAAATTAAACCTTAGAATACTTTACTACTTTTAATAGTTTTAACGCAACGAGGACCGTGGTGTCTTCTTCTTTTGGAGAACCCTCATTGTTGCCACAGACTCGTTCGAAATTCTTAGCATTGACATAATTACCTTGGAGATGCAACGCTAATGCAGTGGGGGTGCCCCACTCCCACTGCAGGGGGAGAGGAGTCTCGGAATTGCGATTCGCCGTTATTCTTACCCTCCGCGGCTGAAACGTGTTGAGTGGCGGAGCCGCGAGACAGACCAGATCCGCAGGGTACTTGGGGGCTGGGAGGCTTGCTGCTTATTAGCACTAGCTCCCCTGGGTCCCATGGCCTCTGGTCAGCAAACGCGGGAGAGTTTGTTGACCATAAATGAGAGGCAGAGAAGGAAGGTGCGCTAAATATTCCAGCGCGCCATACCTGGAGGTGTGCAGCCCCGCCAAGTGGCAGTTGATAGGGAGAGCGGCCAAACGCAATACTGACACTCTTTTTCCTCCACAGCTCTACTTCGGTCGCAGAGGACAGGGAGGTTTGCAACACCTCTACCACCCTTAACCTGTCCCTTGCACCCTCCTTTCTCGCATCCAAAGTGGGCTTAATGAGCCCACATGGAGCCGGCCTCTTTGCGTGGGTTCCTTCTTAGCTTCGCCGTAAGAGACCAAGCCACTGCTACTCAGCTCCTCGGCCATGACAAAGCGGTAATACGGTTGGAGGAAAAAGAGCTTACTTCTAGCCCTAAGGCGGGCAACGCATTTGTGACTCCTACGATGTTGCAATTGTCCATGGTTGGCGTGTTTACTTGTCATCAGGTGACTCTCTTACTCCTTAGCCTCGTTTTACATAAAACAAATCGTACGAAGTTAATTTGGTATACATTAATTTCACGGACTTATACCTTTGACACTGTAACTTTCATTATAAGCACTTTCTTTAATTATCGCATCTTTCATTTCTCAATGCTCCCGCTTTTATTGTATTTTGTTTTGCAATATACATTTTATCATCCTACGGTTACACGGGACCGAGCGTTTTCTTTCTCTTTTTCCCTTTCTCTTTTGAAATAAAACCCCAAGAAATTATCTTGTACCGCAAAACATTCTACGTCTTAAATTATGTATTTTCTCAAGAGATTCTGAATAATATTCAATAACTTATACAATTGTTTATACCATGTAGGGAATAAACCGACGATGGGATTAGCTTTGCGTTCATCAAGCCGAAATTCTTTGAAACACACGTTGTTATAAGATTTTAATCTGTCTTTATAAAAACAATTTACGGTTAAACATTTTAATTTGAAGCGGC